TAGACTGAAAGATTCTTCACTTCACATTCTCATAATTGGAAGTAATCCTTTACTTCAGACTTTCTTTTTCATCTGCTGCTCTAGCTGTAGGTATCTCATCCTGTAGCTCATTTAGTTCCTCTCCTTTGGGTTGGTGTGTAATCAAGCATTTGAAACTGATTAGGAGATGAGAGCTTGGCGTAGTCAGTAATTCCATTACGGCACAGGCACACTCCAGAATCCAAGTTTTCTGCTAAAGAACCTTCCCAGTGTTGACTGACTGTGAACTGATCCTATACAGGTAACACCTCTCGGAGGTCTTACGCTGCTGCTTAGAAAGGTGTGTGGGTCAAATCCAAACCAATAAATATGTCAGTGTCAACGACCAGTGGGTTTTGTTCAGGTACGCGTGCCATTGAAGTGCCAAATTCTCCGTTCTGTTCAGCTGCCGGAACCTCCAGCTCTAACCTGATGGCTCATCTTCCCATCTTTGTGCGTCAGTAGCTGAGAATGATGCCAGGTGACGTACTGGGAAGATGGGGAACAACTATGTACCGCCTCTGTGAAGTAGTGGAGGTGATGGAGAGGGGATATTTTTTCAGTTAATTTACAGTATATTCAGCAAGACCCAGTAAGTCATCTCGGAGAAACATCCTGGTTTTTCTTTCTTCACTCGCGAGATGTGGCACCCTTGAGGGCGGGCTGAGGAGTTGTCGCAGAAAGTGCACGCCCTCACAGGCTCAGCCCAAGGTTGCATTGAAGGGAAATGCAAATTTCCTTATCTTTTCTGATCCTTAAGCCTGAATAAAGAGGAGGGCAAGGAGTGCAAACATAGATGGACTGTTTTGAAGTGGTACTGCATGTTTCTGTGTGGGCAGTGATTCTCACTCAGACGTGTGAGTGAAAAGTCCTTGCCTAAATAGGTGTTGCGGGTGTGCCCATTCCAGTCACGGGCTAAGAACGTTGTATCTGTAGAGTTTATCTTGTGAAGATGCGCATCAGACTCCAAACTGATGCTTGGCATGTCCCTGTTGGGGTAAAGAGCTGAAGGTTTCGGTTGCTCTAAGTTAAACCCTTCCTCTCACCTGCCAAGGTGCCGGCCTGCAGCGGAGTATGGCGAGCAGTAAGGACTGCTGAGAGTGAAGTGCCCCCACCGTGCGGGGGAGGCTGGGTGTCCTCTGCTCCTTTAGGGAGACTTGCAACTTTTCCCTGGCGTTGCTAGAGTCCTGCCTTTTTTTTTTTTTTTGTGCCCTTGAGAGTTCCTGTGAGGAGGAGACTTGGATGCCTTCTATTTACACAGCGTGAGATGAGCACATGCAGAATCTCTTGTTTATCTCCTGAGAAGTGTGAGAATTTTGAAAATGGTTCTGCTGGTCGTTACCCAGGGACACCATTGCTCTGAGGCGGTACTAAAGAACGATCCCGTTTTTTAATGGCAAAGACAAAACAAGCTTGGCAGCAACTCAGAATGCAGCCTCGTGTTTTGGATTGTAACGGATCGTTTAGTGTCAGAGAAGCCGAGGAGCTTTGGTTCTTTTACTAACAGCAGAGCTGGATGCGTGAATTCTAGCACTGAAGGGGGAACATGGCTATAGGAGAAGGATGGTTTTGAAGTTCAGTCTTCTGTTATGCAGGGACATCTCCAAATTTGCCATGCATTACATCATAGAAGAAATAGACGAAGATACCTCCATGGAAGATTTGCAGAAAATGATGGTGGTGGCTCTCATCTACAGGTTATTAGTCTGCTTCTATGAGGTAAGTAGTTGTCAACATTAACTCCTGTAATTAGTAGTTGTCGGTTGATGAATAAATGGGTTTGGTTTTGGTTGTGTGTTTTTTTGGTTTTGTTTTTTTTTTTTTAAATCTATTACCATTGACCTATAAATCAAATCCTCTTTACCATATATTTTGGATTATGTTGAAGCTTTGATACAGTTTTGATGAAAACCAAGTTTGCTGGGCGGGTCAACAACGTGGTGTTGCGTGGGACTGAAGCAACTTTTCTTTTACAGATCATCTGTATTTGGGGAGCCGGTGGAGCAACCCCAGGGAAATTCTTGCTTGGACTGCGAGTCGTGACCTGCGATACGTCTGTGCTCATCGCGCCCAGCCGTGTCTTGGTCATTCCGTCCTCCAACGTCAGTATGACAACGTAAGCGCTCGTAGCTGGGACATGTTGCTGTCGGGTTAATGGAGCAGCAAGCCTGCCATTGGGAAGGAAACGCCCCATTTCCATGACTGGCCTTAGCAGCGATTAGCTTGTGAGGCCTACTGTTAGATTCTGTGATCTAAGAATGAACCAGCAGTTATTCAATCTTGTAAATACTTTTCCAGTTAGGCAGTAATCTCCCCTGAACCCTGGAGATGATTGATTTTTGTGCTGTGCAAAACTGAGGCGCTAAACTTGAAAGTAGACTGCCTACTGGTAGAAGCAGAAAAGTGAAAAGGAGGGACTGAATGTTTTCTTCTCCTTTCAGGTCCACAATACGAGCTTTGATCAAGAATTTTTCTATTGCTTCGTTTTTTCCTGCGTTCATCACTCTGCTGTTTTTCCAGCACAACAGAACCGCCTATGATATAGTAGCAGGAACTATTGTGGTAAGAAGGAACGGGGTCAGATGATACCAAAAGGTGGCGTTTCCAGACTGGTTTTGACCGTCCCCTCCCACCCCCCAGTGAACAAAGACCTACCCCAAAACAGAAATCGAGGTGTCTGTCAGAGTCTTTTGCCCAGATGGAATGGGAATTGATTCAGAAGCTAAAGAAAATTGTTTTGCTCCAGTGTGATGCCAGCGGCTACCTTCAGAGTATTGGAGTTTTCACAAATGCCAGAGAAGTTTGGGAGACACAGTATGTATTACACCTGGAAGTATTAACCTCCAGCTGGCGGGAAAGGAGGTGGCTGTGCAAACTGCAGGAAGGAGCTGTTCCGTTCATCTGTCTGCAGGTAGCAGATACCTAAAAAATACCCCAAGAGAAATGTCGCTCCTACAATTTTGGATGTTGGCAGTTAACCCAGGAAATCCCGCTGTTTTCCAAGCAGTTGCCTAAGCCCTACGATAAACTCTGCGGGGAAGAGAACTGCAGTACCGGGCAGTATGGCAAACCACGTTAATTCACTTGCCGCATGTGTGGGGAGAGACGAGCGGTGGCTATCGTATCCCTTATTACTGTTACGCGGGTCGCACTCCCTCACCTCTTTCCAAGCGTGTTATCGGAACGCTGATGTGGAAGGCTTTTGGCATGATTGTCTCGAGTACTGTCGCTTACTTCGTGTGTCGGAGCGAATACAGAGGGGAAATAACGGCTGCTCCTTCTCCAGGAAGGAAGGGGGTGTTGGGCAGCAGTGTTAGTGAAGCGGCGGGTGTAAGGATCTGCGGAGCTGTGGCCAGTGCAGGTCATGCTGTTGAGGCGTAGCTTTTCTGCTTCTGTTTGGAGTGAAACCACTTGTCTGTTTCTTGCATATACTACCAAGCAAACCCACTCTGGATGTGTTTCAGGAGCATGCAGAAAACATTACCCCAGCTGTGTTATGGGTGTAAATCTACTGGAGAACAAGTACTGGTTATTTTCACTTTATAATTCTGGCTACTTGTTTGTATATTCAGAATAACTTAAATACTCAATAAAGAGGCCTAATATTTTGCATGATTACATAGCTTTGATTGTTTGGTTTTTCTCATGTTATTAGTATCGGGAGAGGAACAGAAACAACAGTGTCAGTATGTTACACGGAGTTTGGAATTCTAGACCCCAGTTTCTGTGTGTTCCTCCCTTAGGTGTAACTTACCTCAGTGGCCGAAGGTTCTCTCTCCCTTCAGCTTTGGATAAGGCCTTGGTTGACATCTGACAGTGGTTATCTCTCGTCTTCGGGTGAAATAAATAAATGACGTGTTAATATTTTGCAGTAACTTAGTTGGACAGGCGGCGGGGGGGTGTGTATAAATGCGATGCTCTGCGTACGCATTGAGATCCTCACTTGCAGTGATGCTGTGGGACCAGACCCACTGCTGAACGGCGGGGGAGTGACACCTTCCATCAGTTACCTCTCCAGAATGAAGTTGCTATCTCTTTAGATAACGACTTTTATTTATGAGGTTAAAAAAGCCCCAACGTTGTCTTGGATTCTGAGGTCTTTGCATAATCAGAAATGGTGTTTGTATCAAAATAACCTCATCGTTTCAAGGGTTACTGCCGGTGTACACTAGGAATTTATTACCAGCCGAGAAGACTTGGGTATCCGAGATGCGCCACGAGCCTCAGAGCAGCGATAGGGGCGCGCATCACGGGAATAAGAGTGTCTGAAAGCAGGAAGCGGGAATAGGCAGGCCTGACTAAAGCATCTTCCGAGGGCTGCTGGACCACTTGGAGCGAAGAGGGGGTCAGAGGGAGCCCTTAACTGTTCTTTCTGCCTTCAGCACAGAACCTACGAGCCGAGGCGTGCAGTCAGCCTGGCAGAACCTAGGGCTGTCCCAGCTTCGGGAACTGAAGTCCCCCGGGTGAGTCTCATCTATTTACAATTTCAGTGTGAGTAGAAGAAGAGCTTTTGTTCTACTTATTGTAGCAGGGACCTAGAACTGAGGATTCAGGGTGGGGGGAGAAGAAGGCAAAAACCTGCCTGGCTAAAACCTTACTGCCACCATTTCAGGTAAAAGGGAAAGCGTCTGTCTTACCATGCAGAAACATGCACCCCCGCCCCCAGCCGCTGAAGGAGAAAATGACAATTCCAGCCCACAGAGCCTGTCCCTGGAGAGCTGTACGCAGTATGCTCTTGGACACAGTGGCTGCTAGTCTGGCTCTCAGACAGGTTGCACTGGGCATGCAGCTTTTTTCTGCTTGTAGGTGATGGAGCCAAGGAAAGGCAGCGTGACTTGCGGCATTTTTCAGCTTTAGAGCGCTGGAAATAGGTAACTGCATATAATCCCCCTCCCAGCTCCACGGGCAGGATGCGACTGAACAGCAGCTTAGGGGTGTGGTTTTAAAGCAGAGCGGCTGAGTATTTTCTGTTTATAGAAGCAGTGATTGGAGCTCTACACACGGGTAAGACTCCCCCGGATACGGAAGTCAGCCCTTGTCCCCCCGTCAAGTCCAGGTTGCGGTGAGCCCAGTACCCTGCTGCGCAGCGCTGGTGCCTCTAGCTCTGCAAGTGCTGAGCCCAGCGGGGCAAGCGGCGGAAGCCCAAATGGCAGAAGTCCCCAGCGGCAGCCCTGAAGACGGCTACAGCCTCTGCAGCCGCAGAGGGCTCTTCCGGTCGGGGCCGGAGCTCAAGCATGAAGCAAGTGCTGTGGCTCAGGTAGAGTTCGGCTGCGGTGCCCAAACTAACAGAAGCGTTTCCTCTCGTTTTACTAGAATAACGTCTCTTCTCACTGCTGCAGAGATGGAACCAACCCACCCAAATCACTCCTTTACTACTGGGTGCGCTTTTCCCTCTTCGGGGTGGGGGGAACATGACGGTGAACGGCTGCGGCGTCAGGGTTCTTCTAACTGCTCCAGAAAACTCAACTGCAACGGTTGCAGGTGGGCAGCTGCTACACCGATACCTAGCTCCCAGATCAGCTCTGCAGCAACACTCCCCGTCCTAACAGGGACCCTCTCCCTAATTTAAGACCCTCCACGACGACAGCGATGCTCAGAAGGGGGTGGTTGGAGGAGGCACGTGACACCACTCCGGCTGAGGGCAGTCGCGGCGCCACCCGCCTTCACCCAGAGTTAAACTGCCAGACAATACTTCATCGTTTTTATTGATGGCATTTATCCCATGGTTTAACATGTTAATTATACTGTAATAAACATGGCTTTAATATTAAACTTTTCCTTATTATCCAAAGTCACCACAGTCCATTTCAGTAAATATAAAAATATATACTTAATACTTTGTACAATACTGGTTTTTGGTCCAAACAAAAATGGATCAGAAAAGCCAATAAACTTACTTTAAGAATTCCCAATTTTAAAGATTTTCCAAATGGATTTAGGCAACTTTGAATAATGGGATTTACATAAAATCTCAGACAATACTAAACAAAAATGGCCGTAACACACAAAATTAAAATTTCAGTTTCACAGATCCGTTATGCCAAAAAAGTACATAGAGGAACAAAATTGTATTTACACGTTTCATAATAAAATAACGAAGGCGAGACAGGTGATAAAGGGCTGTAAGAATGAAAATATAGAAATAGCATATAATTATTAAATGAAGAACTACAGATCTAACAAGTCCTTAGCACAGATCATCCTGTAATCAGTCGTCCCCTATCAGAAACTTTTAGTGCACGGTACACCCAAACTCACTCACTTCACACATACACCAGCACAAACTCAGCATAGAAGTCACTCGTTACCAACACCCTCTACGCTACACAGCATCCCTCGCTGACGTCATTGCGACTCGGAGGCGTCAGTAAACGCGGATGAGCGCACAGAGCGGTGCGGATGAAGAGGTATTGTACAAGCCATTCGCTGCGCAGGCTCTACTCGCGGCTACAGCCAGACCACGCTGAGTCAGTGGCGGAAAAGAACTCGCTGGAGTATACAACAGTTTCGCTCGGGAAGGGCCTTGTTGCCAACTCTATTCCTTACCCAAAAGAAAAAAATGAACGAGGGGAGAGGGGAGGAAAGGGAAGCAGGTTTTTATTTCTTTAGGCAGATCTGACTTCAGCTAACCCAGCATGAGGTACGATCCCAACAACAGAACAAATGCAGGGCGGTAGCTGCTTCGGAAGTCGCTTTACCGACCGGGCGATTATTTTCTACGTCTAACTGCAGTCTTTATCTTCCGACCAGAAACTGATGATCCAGAGGCAGAGAAAACATTTTTCCCATTAGTCCTATCAAAAGAAATCAGTAGTTCAGAGTTTAGGACAGCGCAGCTGTAAACGCAGGAGCAGCACTGAGCAGGCAGCCCAGAACAACCGTTTCACAGCCCTGGCTCACCAGTTACCAGCTGGCAACAAACGGCATACAATGGACAGGAGGGAGGAAGGGAGTTCCAGAACCCACTGAGCACCTGGACCTCTCTCATTCGGGAGGCAAGCAGCAGCCTAACAGCTAGATGGGGATTTTGCCTCGCATGAACGAGACGGCGTCACGCGCGCTGATGCACGGCACAGCCCGGCTCCCTTGCTCACTGAGCCAGCCGGGCCCAACCACGGAAGGATGCCCCACCCAGGGCCAAGCTCTGAGGGCCATCGGAACGCCTCACGATTTAACAGCGGTAGAGAGGCTCGGCGCCGTCCACCGACGCTACCCGAAGCTGAAGTGAAATCCCGACACGGTCTCTTACCCCACTGTAAATGCTGGAGGCTGGCTGAACGAAAATCCCGAACAGCTGGAAGGCTGTGCCGGTGCTGCTGGTGCAGGAAGATTTGCATCAAAAGTAAATACTCCCGGGTTGCTTGGGAAGTTGAAATTAGAAGTGTTACTTCCAAACTGGAATAGCAAACCTGGGAAGATGGGGTGGAAGCAGAAGTTGAGATTTGAGTTCAACATTTCCCAGCAAAATCCTCACGGCCTTCCCGCTGTCTTTAACGCCTTTGTTAACGGGTCGCTCAAGGCGACAAGTCTGGGCAAGGGGGCGCACCAGAAGTGCCAGGTTACCCCAGGGATGGTGCACAGACTTCGTTCACCTCACACCTGAAAATCGCAAAGGCTAAAGTAATCTAAAGTAACGCTGCTGGCACACCGATCCCAAACTGCTGGCCAACTTCTGCACCACCGTGAAGTTTATGCATACTGACACTTCACGATAAAGCCTTAAACTGTGATATTAAATCATGTGGATCTGGTATTTAAAGGAACTTCTTTGCGGTCGCGGAGTCGACCTGGGGAATCCCTTCCGTTCAACGTGCTAACGCGGCACCTCCTCTTAACAAAGGACCCCAAACCATCCCTCCATCAGCCTAACCGATAAGCGTCACGGACAAGCCGCGGAGAGTCTTACCTTCAAACCGGTACCTGATTAACGCAAGACTGGCAGGGCAACGTGGCCGGGCAACTCACCTACCCCTTAGTGCCAAAATGCCAGTTACTTTCAACGGAGGCTTATTTTGGTTTTTTCTGAGAGGAAAAAAGGAGGCTCTTCCCTTCCAGTGTTCGACGCGACGATACCAAACACATTCTGGCAGCACGTTTTTTAGCAATTACTAGAGTGCAACAGGTCTTTCTTACACTTACATTACAAGGCTCATTCCTTGCCCCATCCCGTGGTATTTTATACTTCATTTATTTAAAGCCTTAACCCACAAATGCTTAAAAACATAAGTCTGACCGTATCCCTACACAGAAAAGCCCCCAACCCAAAGAATACATTGCCAAAGCCTGTTAATGAAGTCGGACAACTAAGGGCGACTCCTGACCAACCCAAAAACACTCATTCTGCAGTGCTGCTGCCATTGTGGTTGCCCCAGTTTAACCAGCGAACTCTCTGGGGATTTCAACGCGATTTCTGATGACAGCAAGCCCCGGTGCTGAGCGGTAGGGTGGCCACCTCCATGCCTGCTGAGCCTTGTGCGGAGAAGGCCTGCTGTGCGCTGGCACCCCACAACTGACTCGACCATGGGCCCATTATTTTTATGGAGGAGAATTCCTACGGCTAAAATAGGTGCGCAAGGCAGAAGTCTTCTTTCTCAATGTACTTTAAGGTGCGCTTCATGAAAAATAAAGTAAAACGACAGCCTTCGAGACCAAAAAGGGAAGAGGATGGTCAGCACTCACCGGCACCGGGGGTACCAGAGCCAAAACCTGGCTGTTGGGTCGCTTGCTGTCCAAACACAGAGGGCTGAGTACTGGTCGTCACGGAGCCGAAGGCAGGAGGGGCTGGCTGAGCGCCAGCTGAAAACAGCGTTGTCGACAGCGATCCGAAACTTGGAGCGCTTGGCTGACTGGACCCTTGGCTCTGGCCAAATGCTGGTGGCTGGCTGGCACCAAACGCTGGGCAGGCAGCAGGCGCTGAAGGCCCAGAGCCAAACAGGAACGAAGAGGACGACCCTCAGGGAAGAGAAAAGAAATGTCAGTATATGCTGTGGGTCTGGGTCCCCCTCTCCCCAATCTGCCTTTGAAAAACCAAGCCCTGTCTTACACTGTTGAACAGAAATACCATCTACTTCCATGCAAGCGGCCTACACATTCTTCAAAGTAAAACATTCACGAAACAGTATTTCTGTGGGCCGCTAGATAATGGCAAAACGGAAGAGAGCATCCCTTTAAAATGTACCTGTTGAACTGGATGTGGTTGTGGCTGCAAAGGTAAAGCCTGAATTTGCTGCACTGGTGCTGGTTTCTCCTGATCCAAAGAGAAACGAACCAAGAGATGTGCCGGAAGATGTGGTTGCTGGCTTGTTTTCTTGAGAGAAGCCAAAAGACTGAGATGCTGCAGATTCTGCGGAATTGCCGAAAACAGAACTGCTCACAGTGTTGCTGGGTTGTCCAAACACAAAGGGAGCGGGAACTGGCTGAGGATTTGAGGATGAGATGGCACTTCCGAACACGCTGCTGCTGTTGGCTGAAGCAGTGGGTACGACTGTGCTGGAGGAGCTAGAGCTCAAGAAGCTGAAGGATGGCTTTGCTGCTCCTTTGTAGGAAAGGAAGAACAGTTCAGAACCCCCCCCCAGAAATGCCAAATGAAGCACAGCAAACAGACTTCAGTCTCAATCACAGTACAAAGAGCAGTCCTGAACGACACCCCAACCACTCTCCCAGCTACTGTCCCTTATGCAAGACTTGCGTTGGATGCGCCAGCTGCTGCCATCCACAGTTACAGGAACGGAAGAACTATGCAGGACAAGGACACTGCTGCAGTCTAGGCCTCATGGGTTACACACGCTAAGCACTGGCCGTCATTACCTGACCCAGTTTTCACCGGCACTTCTGACTTCTTCAAACAAAGATGTATTTCAGTTGTTCTCAGAAGAACAACATCCATCATCGGTGGCAGTTTTACGGCTTTGTTCGATTGAGTATTGAAAATCAGAGCGAAACAGTTTCATTTGTAGCTTGCTTGAACACAGAGCCGTGTGACTACCAGCTCGAAGTCAAGCAATGCTTACCATCTGCCAGCCTAACTCTTCCAAGCTTAGGTTTGTTGTACTTAAGCACCTGCAAAACCTGCTTTTCAGCGCAACAGAGAACAACCCTCTGTTAAGATGACCTTTAGAGAGCGCTGAGTGAAGTCTGACACACTTAAAATAGAACTGTCTTTTAAAGTCAGTCATTCTTCAGCCTTCCCTAAGCTGATGATCCAATTCCCATTGTTAATTTGTGATCTTGTTTTCAATTCCCCGCTATCTTTTCCTCCAGCAGTCGTGGCTCCTTTCCATCTCTGCCATTGTTAAGAGACTATACCATTCCTAAGAATGCTTGTTAAAATTTCCTTTTTGCACAAGCTGCTTCCTCACGTTTCCATGACTTAACTCCCGAACTTTACCTGGCAGGTAAAAAAACAAACAAAGCAAGCCCAACCCCGCCCCTCCCCTCCCACCATCTCTCCTTCCCCGAAGCCTACCATCCTCTGAAAACTTGTCTGTTCAGTCACAGCTCAACCTCAGAGTACCGTGATTAAAACCAGTGTAACCCTACGTATCACTTTAATTCAGGGCTACTCACTGATGTCCCTTTCCATATCATGTCAGAAGTTAGAAACGAATTCTGTCCTCCAAAACACAACTGCTAAATCGTACGAATGGAATTCCACAACCAGAATTTTTCGACACAGTGATCATCACTGAAGAACTTCAATCCTCCACTGAAGATTTTCAACAAATTAAAGGAATACAAAACACCGCAGTATTTATGAAATTATTTCTATATATCGCCTCTCTCACCCCCTCTGACTAGGAAAAGCAACGCTAGTATGAGGCTTCTATACTGCCCCATACTATAGATTTTACGACCAGCTGCGCTGCTGCTACCACTGAGAGATACAACTTCAGTGTTCATACACGAAGCCATACGGGTCCCGTACGGCATGGCCATTTTGTTGCCTAAACCTAGTGTTAAAACCCACTGAAATCTAAAAAGGACTCGCTACATACTGACTACACACCAGGAACCAGAACTAAAGACAGGCTGTGGGTAGCAATTCAGCCTTTTCTAAGGCTCTAATGCCCGAATACATCAAATCCCACAGATTTTACCCAGTATGGCTTCAGAGGAATTATGTGAAGGACACAAGCAGACAAGTGAAGACGAAAGATGGTTACCTGAAGTACTGGTTTGTGCCCCAAACGCAAAAGATGACTTTGCCTGCTCAGCTTCCTTCTCCGATGGTTTACCGAAACTGAAATTGAATATGGGTTTTGCTGTGCTCTCCTCTTTGGTATGCTCAGCCGTCCCAGCTGAGAAGACAGGCTGCGCCTTTAACTCCTCAGTGTCAGCCTTCTTGCCAAATGCTAGTGGAGCGGCAGAAATGACAGAGTCCTGCTTCTCTTCTGTCCTTCCCAGAACAAACTGTGAGGCGGGGGCAGACTCCACACTGCCAAAAGAGAAGTCTCCCTTTGCTGAAAGGGCTTCCTCCTTTTTCTCCTCCGATTTCTTAAATGCAGGAGCAGGTGATGCCACCTCCTTTTCTGCCGCAGTTCCAAAGGTGAAGCCGCTGACTCCGGTTTTATTCTCACTGGTAGCTATGGAAGAAGTAGAACTCGTGCCAAAGCCAAAGCCTCCCAGACCTGGTTCCTCTTTCTTTTCCTGCTGTCCCAGGCTCGCTGTCCCAAACTGAAACGCTGAAGGAGCTGGACTACTTGTAGGTGGAAGTCCAAAGGTAAAACTGTTACTTTTATCTTCTTTTTTACTGTCTTCTGATTTCAAGTCTGAGGATGAAACTCCAAATTTGAAGTCCCCTCCACTCACAGAAAACTTAAATCCTCCAGTCACGGGGCTGGAGGATGCTGATTCAGATGCAATACCGAATTTGAAGCTTCCTGGGTCTCCAAATTTAAAACTTCCTGCGCTGCTTAAGGTATGAGAAGATTCAGAGGAGGATGACTGGATGCCGAATGTAAATGATGGCACTGAAGCATTTGTGGACACCGCATCAGCACCGAAACCTGCAGAACAAAGCACCTCAGCTGAAGTTTGAAATATACGATGTAACACACGTAGGCTCAAACTACACGGCCGGGATTTCAGTCCTGAACTTCCCAGAGCCAAAACCATTTGAAGAAAAACCAACTAACCAAGCCACAAAACAAGTAAGGGAACTCCACGCTCCCTCTCTACAAACACCTTTTCACAACGGTATTCTTCTGTCCGCCACCTGGAAAAGCACACTGCTAACCTCCTTCAAAGATCATGCTTTCGGTCTGAACTCCAGCTGAACAATGCAAGGATTGTAAAGAACAATTATGCCATTAATATTATGCCTTTTACAGAAAAGCTTACCTCTTTCTGGGGAAAGGATGTGGAAACGTACGCACTTACCTTACTTAAGCAATATTCCTAGAGGAAAAATGAACAGTTTTGCCATACCTCAAAGGAAAAATAATTGCACTAAGAAAAAAATAAAGAAAAAATAAATTGCAGAATGCACACCACTGTTTTTCTCATTAAGTATTACCTTTGAGCTCTGCTTTGGTGCCTGGCTTTGGGCTTTCACAGGCTACACATTTCGTGGCTTCTGCTTTGTTTTGGACAAAGCAGACCTCACAATCCCAGCTTCCTTCAGGCTTTTGGAATTTGTCTAAATCCAGAAATCCTCCAGAAGTCACAGAAAATGCGGAAACACTGCTACTGGTCACAGGCACTGAATTCCCTGAGAAATAAGCAAGATCTCCTGATCTCATGTTCTGTTCTCCTGCTTAAGTGAGAACAGAACATGAACTTTTAAAGAAACTCTTAATTGCTCACTAAATTACAAAGTGGACAAGCACAACAGTAAAAAAACCCATCAAACTACAAGTTAATTTTGGTCAATCTCAATCCTGGAATGGAAACAATAGAAACACACAGATTCTTCTTCATAATCCAGTATGATTTTAAGCATGAATTCAACTGATGACATTTAAACAGCAACTGCAGTTCAGATAATACAGCAACATTGCTCTTCTGGATGTTAATTGAAGATGCTGTACTCAAACTACTGAAAGAATTTCTGGTGACCTGTGTAACCTGTAGTCAACAGATGCATAGAGCGGTAGGGGTTAGAAGGGACCTCTAG